TCTAGGTATCGGCAATTAATATTGGATTATCCATCTAAAAAATGGAATCCAGCCTTTCTCTGGTGGTGGTGCCAAACGGTATTGATCAAGACTTGTTTTTGTTATTTACACCTGCTCAAACTGGCTAACTAAAGTACAATAAAATGTACTTTTTTACTAACTTTCAGAATTTAAATTATTTAGTTAAAAATAATGTTAATTTAGGCTGGGCGTGGTGGCTCACTCCTGTAATCCTAGCACTCTAGGAAGCCAGGGCCTGAGCTCACAGGTTCGAGACCAGCATGAGCCAGAGCAAAACCCCATCTCTAAAAATAGCTGGGTGCTGTGGTGAGAGCCTGTAGTCCCAGCTACTTTGGGAGGCTGAGGTGGGAGGATTGCTTGAGCCCAAGAGTCTGATGTTGCTATGAGCTATGATACCATAGCACTCTACCAAAAAGTACAGACACCATACTTTTTGTCTACCAAGTGTGACAAAGTGAAACTCTGTCACTTTGAGTCAAAAAAAATTTTTCTGTCAAAAAAAATGTTAATTTGTGACGTTTAAATCACAATAGGTTCTTCACTCCCAAGTGTTCTTTGTCTGTCACTAAGTCTGGCAAGGAGCATTTCAGAAGAAATAATAACTCTCACAAAATCAACAGAGTGATGAAATTGAAGGAAAAGTTTATGGCTCTTGGCTTTTGTGGTTTGGCAGTGTATGAGAGAATTGGAGCGCTCTTCTTGTCATCTCGTCTTTGAAGAGAACATATCTGAGAAGTATGGTGCAATCACAGATGAGAAGAATAACATGATTTATCTGGCCTGAGGGACGGGGACATACATATCTTGGACAGGCAGCTAAATCTATTTGACAGACAGAGACTGTGAATAATTTAAATCTCTGAGTACCTGGAAGTAACCGCTGCCAGAGAAAATCGATGACCTGCAGGTGTGGTTTATCCTTTGTCTTACATGGCCTTAGGATTGTTAATGATTTTGCATCTTAATGTTACAAAAAAAAAAAAAAATCAAAACAAAACTCCAAAAAGATAGAACATAACTAGGTGTGTCTGACCTCCCTTTTCCTCATGGCTGGCAACTCAGCTTTAAGGGTTTTTTCAGGGGATGGGGGGTCCCTTTGGCCAATGGCGGGGGGCGGGGTCCATTCAGTTAGCTGGAGAGGAATGCTTAAAATTTTATCTTGGTTTGCATGCCAGTGTTTTTAGTACGGACAACATACTTTGAAAAGCAGGGGCTTCGACCATGATTCATTATGATTGCCATTACTATTCCACTTTTAGCCTTTTAAACAGAGATACTTTTAGGAAAGTGTCCTGGAAAGGTACTTTCTGCCTTTACCCTCAGGTTAACCTTGAGGAAAATGCCTATTAAATTATCCAGGGCCTCCTACATGAATCTTGATGTGATAAGTTAAAAGGTTAAAATTAGGGAACACTCTGTTCCTCCTGAGAAACTTTTTCTTTAAATTATATATACTTTTTTTTTTTTTTTTTTTTTTGGACAGAGTCTCACTTTGTCCCCCTCAGTACAGTGCTGTGGCATCACAGCTCACAGTAGCCTCAAACTCTTGGGCTTAAGCAATTCTCTTGCCTCAGCCTCCCAAGTAGCTGGGACTACAGGGGCCCACCACAATACCCGGCTATTTTTTTAGAGACGAAGTCTGGCTCTGGCTCTGGCTCTAGCTAGTCTCAAACTCATGAGCTCAGGCAATCCACCCACCTTGGTTTCCCAGAGTGCTAGGATTACAGGCATGAGCCACCACGCCAGTCCCCTCCTGAGTAACTTTTAGATTTTTTACTCTTTCATAAGGAAAACTAAGTAATTGATCCTATATCCCTTTTTATTCTGACCAGTAGGAAATTCAAAGCCAAATTTGTGGGAGAAATATAACAACTTTTTAGAGCGATGAACCAGTGTGTTTGTGTTTTATATATTTTTTTCCATTTCTAATTTATATTTCACCTTGCACAGATTTTCCCATTTATAGCATCCTTTAATTAAATACATATTTATGGAAATGTGATTGAACTGGAATTTCAACAATTGGCAAATTTGATTGAGCAGACAAAAAAATACCCTAAACAGAAGTACGTATGTTCAGAGTTATTAATAATTAATGAGGCTTGAACAGAGAACTCAATAGATTAGTTAAACCACTTATAAACACTTGCAGTGATATGGGGGCTCACAGTCATATTTTGTTTATTTAAGTTCCTATCACAACACACTAGTGGTAGGAACTTAAATAATGAGGTGAGATTCTAATACCAAAGCACTATTGCCAGTAACATACACTAGAATTCAATCCCATGCTAGTTTCTCCTTTAAAGCAGTAAACACCAAAGTAGAAAGAGGGTATCTTATTTGTCTCCCTCTTGCCATATTGTCTAATCTTTAGCAGCTGATATTTTGCAAGTACGTAAATATTTCAGAATGTATTAATAAATGAAGTTGTTTCTAACCTAAAAAAATTAATGTATTGCTTATCTTAAGACACTTATATACATCAGTAGCTTCTAGTTTTTTTCAATTACCAACATGCATGGGTGTTCTCTTCCAAATCAGAGTGTGTTAAATGTATTCCAATATTATTTTCTTTGGTATTATGGCATAATAACACAATTTGTTTCTCTCCTATGGTTTTCCAGACAGTTTCTGAATACATATTCAATGAATTCTTGAGCAATAAGAAAATGAATATTTTCTGAGAAAATATTTGATGCATTCTGTTTCTCAACTGGACAGTAATTTGAGAAATAAACTGAATAAAACTGAACGGCATTTCTTTTTAAAGATGAAATCATGGGAAGCTCACGTAGTTTCTCACTGACAGACATATGATGAACCCACTTGGATTCTTTGGGGAAAAAAATACTAACACCTATGAACTGGAAGAGAAACTTCTGACTCCAAACTAGATAAACAAAGCTAAATTTTCCTGATTTGTTTCTGGTGTGTTGATTCATTTTTATATTCTCTACCAATGATAGGCTCTATGGAGAAACTGCAACATATATAAAGAAAACAATTTCTTCTACCAAAGAGGCAATAATAAATACAAGAGAGAGAATGCATCAATTCAAACAGTCCTAGCAAATGCCACAAGAAGGCTCGCGTGTTTCATAGAATAAAGAAAAGTAGGTCACTGCTGATTGATATGATGAGTGAATGACTCATTGAGAAGGTAGCATTTTATTTATTTATTTATTTATTTACTATTCCTTATTTGCAGACAAAGTCTCATCCTGTTGCCTCAGGCTAGCGTGCCTTGGCATCAGCCTAGGCAGCAACCTCAAATTCCCCAGTTCAAGTGATCATCCTGTCTCAGCCCCCCAAGTAGCTGGAATTAAAGGCACCCTCCACAATGCCCAGCTAATTTTTTTCTATTTCTAGTAGAGATAGGGGTCTCACTCTTGCTCAGGCTGGTCTCCAACTTCCTAAACTCAACAGCTCCTCCCACCTCAGCCTCCTGAAGTGCTAGGATTATAAGCATGAGCCACCACACCCAGGTGTAGAAGGTAGCATTTTAAATGGATCTTAAATGGGCTTATTTCAAAAACTATTATGACATGAGTCACATGGAATATTTTATATATGCTAATTGGATAGAACCAACAATTCAGCAGGCCATTCTCAATATTCCTGCTTGTTATTATAATGTCAAGGAAAGCTTATTTGTGCAACAGAGTGAGGACTGCACCCCACATTTCCCATTTCAATTGGATTCTTTTGATGCTATGATATACCACCTTTCAATTAATAAAATACGGATTATCATATTACTATTTACATTTGTCTGCTTGTCGAATTTTGGCTTTCATAGAAAACTCTAATTAATAAAAATAAACCTCCCATTTCCCACTACAAAAAAAAAAAGTAGATGAGGGAAAATTGGCAGTGGATACATTTTCTGATTATTGAACTTCATCTAGGTGCAGTACCTGTAGGTCAGTGGTTAGGGCATCAACCACATACACTGAGGCTGGTGGGTTCCAACCCAGGCCGGATCTGGTAAACAACAATGACAATTGCAATAAAAAAAAGTAGCTGGGCGCTATAGTGGGCTACCCACTATAGGTACCGCTACCTATAGTCCCAGCTACTTGGGAGGCTGAGGCAAGAGAATTGCGTAAGCCCAAGAGTTTGAGGTTGTGAGCTGTGACACCACGGCACTCTACCAAGGGTGACATAATGAGTCTGTCTAAAAAAAAAAAAAAAAACTTCATTTAAAATTTACCATAATTAACATTTTTGAGCACTAACTTTAAGCAAGGAACTCCAGTGAGCACCATCTAAATACATCATTTCATTTAATCATCACAACAGCCCTATGAGGCAGGCATTATTATTAATGTCTGTTACACAGAGAAGCTGAGGCATATATAATTTAGAGCTTGCCCAAGATCATCCATTGATAAATAGAAGAGCTGGGACTTGATTTTGATACACGAAAGTCTATGCCTTCCCCCCACCCCCAGGTTAACAAAGAGAGATTTTTATTTAAGAAGAACAAAGAGAAAAGTTTAGAGCACTTCCAAAGCGAGTTGAAAGTGGGTGCCTCTCATGGAGGAGAAAAGGTGAGAGGGACAAGTCTATGCCTTGAATCACTAAGCTCCCTAGACAAAATTCTGTAGATGGGAAACCATATCTATTAACTGACTTTGGTATTTTAAAAGCCCACTTTATAAATTCTAAAAATAAACATGGATTATTATTTATTCAACTGTGCTGACTCACAAATCCAATGCGACGTATTCTTTGGGTGGGTAAACAATGATTGATCTGGTGTTGATTCACACTCTAGAAACCACACAAAAATATCTAAGAAGCCGCAGATCCTGAGGAAAGCTGGAGCCAAGGCGGTAAGGATGGCTGGTGGTGGGAGCTCCAGGACAGGGCCCAGGGGGGCCAGAGAAGGGGGGGCCCGTTTTTTGGAGGAACGTGCTTCCCCGAAGAGCGGACAGCAGTTAGGGGCGGACCAGGCACCGGGCGGCGGCGGCGGCGGCTGCGAGGGAGACCGGGAAAGCGGGAGTGACTGCAGGTACACGCCGAACTCTATGGGGCTTCGAAATTCCCAACTTTTTCGTGGAGATTCTTTTCATCATATTTCCTGACAGCGTCCTGGGCTGGTACAGGGTTTTGCCCCAGCCACTTCTCTCACACCTGCAGGTCCTCAGCTCACACCCTACCTTTCCGTTGGGCCCTTAAGGTGCAGGGGACCCTGAGCAGTGACGCTCAAGCTTCAGTTCTGAGGGAGAATTCAGGAAGGGCGGCTGCAGGGGAGAAGAGGAGGGGACCCGAGCGGTGAGGAGGGTGGGGGAGGCCCGCAGGGAAGGTCTGAATGATTTGCCCTCGGGAGGACTGGACTCAAGCCAGCGGGAAGAAGGACTAAGAAGGAAATGGGGTTGTTATTTGCCTGTGGGGATGGTTGAGGCTGGGCCTTGAAGGTCACAAATCAGTCTGTGCCGCTCACTAAAGAATTTGACAAGCGCTGAATCGCCAGCTTGCCACCTCATTTCTCCTAGCAAAAAGACCATATCCGCTGAAAGGATCTTGACCTAGGAAATTGGAAGAGAAGGCAATGAAGACACATAGAAATGAAATTGCCTGGCTCAGCCAGTGTAACAAAAGGGATAGCAAGCAGTGATAGCAAGTGAAATATTAGTGATGGTTTTATAAGGAAAAACAGCCCAAGGATTTTATTAGAGGAAGGAGTTGGGAGAAAACCAAGCTCAGATGAGAATGGGTTTAGTTCGAGAGCCACATTCCAAGGCAAAACCCTAGTTTAATGTTTTTATTTAAAGTGTTAAAGATGACTGTACAGTTCTATCAAAGAATAACAGCAATATAAAATAGCGATGGATTTAATTTTACCCCAAAAGGAATTTTACTGTATTATGGGAGGCTATTACAATTTTTTTTTTTTTTTGGCTATAAAGAACAAGTGTTAACTATTTAGGGGATTTTATTTATGCTTTCACTTGCATATGTGATACAGAAGATAGAATTCAATAAACTGAAAATACATAGCTAAAATTTTGTCTTAGATTTAAAAAAACTGTTAGTAGTTGCTAAAGCAAAAATAATATAGAAAAGAAGAAAATATGATTTCTTGTAGTCTGTTTTAGTGTAATCCCCTTTAAATAATAATATGCCCCCAAGCAGTTACTGCAGGCATTTTGTGTACTTTCTACTTTGGAATAGTCGCCACTTTCGTACACTATATTTTGGCTCATGCTCATTCCTCAATCTAAAATACCTGAATTTCACACTTGAATTTTCCCCTTCCTTTTTGCTAAAGGAAATCTAATCGCAGCTGCCTCATACTTTCAGATTGTATTAATCCTAATTTCTTCTAAATAATCACTTAACCTCCAAATGTAAATACTGGCCACTCCGCAAAAGTCATCCATCTTGACTGGATGAGTCCGGAGTACTGAAGAATTTCTTATGATTGGTTTCATACGACTAAAACTGAAACTATTCTTCACTTTAACAGCTGGCTATTCCCAGTTTTACACAAAATTATAAGTGGCTAGAAATACAGAGAGATTGCTTTATGAACATTAATTTCCTTATGTCTCCTGTTTGCCAAACAGGTTATCAAACAAAATATAAAATATATGCACACTACCAGAAAATATTTGTGGTGCAAACATTAAACAAATATTTTTAACATCTTAGATCAGGGCTAAAAATCACACTTAAAAATCATGCCTCAGGGCGGCGCCTGTGGCTCAAAGGAGTAGGGCGCCAGCCCCATAGGCTGGACATTGCAGGTTCAAACCCAGGCCTGGCCAAAAACTGCAAAGGAAAAAAAAAAATCACGCCTCAGATTTAATTAAAGTATCAGCTTTTAGGTCTAGCCATATTGATGGCAAAGGGATAAATGGTGGCAATGGTATTATTCATTTTATTGTGTGTTAAGATCAAATAATTTCTGCATAGGCACATCATTGCACTAATTTGTTTACAGAAACAAATCTAAACAAATTGGCTGGATGGGAGTGGTAAATGGTAGAGAAGATTTGATACATTTGACCATTATTAATGCTGGGTATAACAAAAATTCAATGAGTACAATGGAGTTCAAATAGGTGCTCTACAAGTAGAATACAGAAATACTATTTGTAGTGGTTAAGTTATGACCACTATTGTGATGTGTTAGATCTTATTTGTGTATTTATTTATTTATTTTTAACTCTACTCTTCAGTAGTTTCAGGAATGGATAAAAGCAGTGAAGGATGTGAGAAAAAGATTAGCAGCGTGAATCTTGACAAACTGATACGTGACTTCTCACAAATAGAAAAGGTATGTAAAGGTAGCAACCAATTCTAATAAATAAGGGGAAATGAACTGATATTGCCAGTGAAAGAAGTTAGAAAGAAAGAAAAGTCTACAAAAAATGAGCAAAGTAACAATGACAGTGTATTTTGCTAAGCTCTTCCTCTCTTAGCTTAAAAATATGTATTTAAAATATATCTGTTCTTGATTCATGTATTAACACATCAAAATGTTTCTAGAGTGGGGGAACAAATAATTGCTCTACTTTTGCCAAATTCAAAGAGAAAATACATATAGTAGTCCCCCCTCCGTCCAAGGTTTTGCTTTCTGCAGTTTCAGTTACTCAAGGTCAGCAGCAGTCCAAAAATATTAAATAGAAAATTCTAGAAATAAACAATTCATAACTTTTAAATCATGCATCATTCTGAGTAGCATGATGAAATCTCATTTCATCCCCGTATGTCCTGCTCTGGATGTAAATCACCCCTTTGTCCAGCATATCTAGGCTGTTATAGGCTACTTGCCTGTTAGTCACTTAATAGCTGTCTTAGTTATCAGAAGAGTAATTATGGTATAGAAAGATACTTTGTGGGAGAGAGAGACCACATTCACATAACTCTTATTATGAAATATTGTTACAATTGTTCTGTTTCATTACTAGTTATTGTTTTTAATGTATTATTGTTCCTAGTTTATAAATTAAACTTTATCATAGAATATATTATAGGAAAAAACTCAAATATTGTCAGGCACCCACTGGGGGTCTTGGAAGGTATCCCCTGCAGATAAAGAGGAACTATTGTACTTAAATGTCCAGGATGTCCATAAACTCAGGAATAGTTTCAGTAAGAATTAATGTAGACATATCCATTAATCTCTTATCAATATGACTAATGTTTCTGTTTTTAGTCTTTCCTATTTTTCTGTTCCCTTTCACTTCTCTCTTGCCTAAAAGTAAACCCATTTAAAGTCCCTCTTCCCCTTTTGGACAAATGATAGACCAAACCCACAAGTGTATGTTGGGTTTTTCTCCCTCCTCTGCCATGGAAAGGAGTAGGGATGGCTATTGAAAAAATGTAGGAGGATAAATTAAAGATTTGGAGAGGGAGTTTGTGAAGCAGTCATGGGAGGGGATTGATACCTCTGCTTTCTATCCTTTACTCATCATTCTTATTTCTTCCTTCTTTTTCCCAGCACACACACCAAGAAAATGCCATAATGAAAAATTTTTCGTGGTGATGGGTAGCTATGAGCTTTTTTTGAACAATGATAAGAGAGACTAGAGAAAGAGATAAGAACCACTGTTGATTGGGAAAACAATTAGTACAATACTTTGGAGATTAATTTGGAAACATCTGTTGTATTCTTAAACATTTTAAATATGAAATAATTCATTTCCTGATGTGATAATGGCATTGTGATCATGTTTCAAAAGTGTGTTATCTCTTAGAGATACATATGGATGGTAATATTTATAAATGAAATAATATAATGTCAGGGAGTTGCCTTGAGATAAATTCATAAGTAGTCTAGGGAAGTGGGTAAAGATATGGATGATGTAAGACTGTTCATGAATTGTACAGTCAAACTCTTTAAAGCTGTTTGAAGAGTACATGGAGGCTTATGATGTTATACACAAAGATACCAAATAGATATATGTTCAAGAATGTTTATTTATTGTCTGTTATAGCAAAAAGGAAAATGTAGAAACAACCCAAATTAGTCAATAAGAGACTAATTGAAACTTAATGCAGCTGTTAAAAAGAATGAAGTAGATCTATTTATACTTATGTATAAATACATCATTTCCCAGATAATAGTGCTAAGTAGAACAGCCAAGATGCAGAACAAAATATAGTATGATCTTTTTCTGTAGTTGTATACTCATAAAATATTTTGGAAACATGTAGAAGGAATTGTTACCACGGGACTGAGGATTGAACAGTTGGAAATAAAGGGGTTTAAGTTAGGTCATAGCTTTACTTTTCATACCTTTACTTTTGATAACTATAAATCTGTTTTAATATTTACCATATTACATTTAAAATTAAAAATCAGGAAGTAGACTTATTTAAAAATACAGTCCTGCATCACTCAACAATGGGGATGTATTCTGAGAAATGTGTCATTAGGCAATTTTATTATTGTGCAAACATCACAGAATGTACTTAAACAAAAACCTAACTGGTTTAGGCTCCCACACACATGCGCTCTATAGTATAACCTACTGCTTCTAGGCCACAAACCTGTATAGTATGTTTTATGCTGAATACCACAGGCAAATGTAACACAAAGGTAAGTATTTGTATATCTAAACATTGAAAAGGTATAGGAAAAATACAGTATAAACGATGAGAAACAGTACATCTGTATAAGGCAGCTACATTATAATCTTACGGGACCACTTATATCAGTCCACCCTTAACTGAAATATCATTATGTGGCTCATGACTGTATATGCCAGATTTAATTATTAGTTTTTCAGGTAGTAAATGATTTGCATTTTCATTATTCTTCATATTCTTAGTAAAAGAATCAAATTAACAGCATTAATTTTGTAATAATTTATATTCTGTTTCTTCTACAGAAAATGATAGAAACCAGTGGAAAGAACAATATGTTGGATATTCAGTTGGAAAAGACTAATAGTTTATTAAAAGTAATGCAAACAAAGGAGGTCTCAATTAAAGAAGGTTAGTTCTTTGCTGCCTGAAGAAACACTAATTCTAATGAGAGTACTTTTTAGCTTAAGAGTGATTAATATTACACCATACATTTGCAAAGTATTTTAAATTCATATAGAACTTTTCAGACTATCTTCTCATTTTATCCTTATTATGACAGATAGCACAGGTATTATTACTCTACTTAACTAATGAAGAGACACAGAATAAAAGTCAAATAATCTGTCTCGTTCTACCCAGCTAAGATATGTACATCAGAGGCTCACTACAGACCTATAAACCATGGGGGAAAAAAGTTGAATTTCTACTTTCTGCTTCACAATTACAGCAAAATAAATATCAGATGCATTTGGAAATTTTAGTTTAAAAATAAAGCCATATGTTTTCTTGCTCTGTCAACCAAGAGGGCTTTAGAAGCAATAATATTCCAGTAGCTATGATCATACCTAATGTCTAGAATATATCTTGGTTTCTAATCTTATTCTCTAATAAATATTAGAGAAATGGCTCATTCTAGGATTGGGACGGGAAATATATAAGATAAGCTTGAAGCATCTTGTAGGGCCAGAAAGTGAGAAAGCACTCAAAAAGAAAATGAAAACTACTCAACAATGATGGGAGTATGTCAAAAGGGACACAAGAGCCAACTGAAAGAGCTCTCAAGGGCCAAAACCGGAACAATTTTTTTTTTTTTTTAGACAGAGCCTCACTCTATCACCCTCAATAGAGTGCCATGGTGTCACAGCTTACAGCAACCTCCAACTCCTGGGCTTAGGTGATTCTCTTGCCTCAGCCTCCCAAGTATCTGGGATTATAAGTGCCCACCACAGTGCCCCACTATTTTTTTGTTGCAGTTTGGCCAGGCTGGGTTTGAACCCACCACCCTTGGTATATGAGGCCGGCACCCTACTCACTGAGCCACAGGCACCACCCAAAGCTGAAACAATTTGAGAAAGAAAATAAAGTAGTGTTGGATCATAACCCAAAGAACAAATATCCATGAGTCCATACTGATATAAATGATTTAATAAGTAAATAATTGGGGGTAAAGGGACAAATATCTTGTGCAGAATAATTCCAAATAACTTATGTGGGTAATTTGCCCTCAAAGAGAAAGAGAATGTCTTCACACACATTGAATATGGGCTCAATTTCCTGACTTTCTAAACTATAGTGAAGAATATTGTATGGAAAGGGTGGTGCTGGAGGAAAAGTAACTACAAAGTAGAGAAACCTAATAAATACCTATCTCAGCCACAGGATCAAAGTCAACATCAAAGGTGATAGCATGTTGATAGTATATGATCAGCATGGCACTTTAATATGATACAAATGATGCTTTACCTCCATAGTCTTCCTTCCCAAAACCCATACCCAAGTCTAGTAATAATGAAATAAACATCAGAAAAATTCCCATACAGGAACATTACAAATTACCTGATCAGTATTTGACAAAACTGTCAAGGTCATCAAAAATAAACTCTGAGAAACTGTCACAGCCAAGAGGAGCCTATGAAGACATGACAAATAAACATAAGGCGATGTGGTAGATAGGCTCCTAGAATAGAAAAAAGACATTGGGTAAAACTAAGGGATTCTGAACATAGATTTTAATTAATACTTGTATCAACATGGGTTCTTAACTGTAACAAATGTACTACACTAACGTAAGATATTAGTAATAGGGGTAACTAAGCAAAACTCTTCAATATCATCCCAATTTTTATGTACATCTAAAACCACCCTAAAATAGTTTATTAAAGGTCAAAAATTAAACTACAAAAGAACTAGAAGAGAATATAGATTTTTTATATTGTAACAGAGGAGATCTTTTAAGTGTTGATACAACATGTAAAAGTGATAATTTATGTGCTTGACTTTTAAAAAATTTAATAGGCATATTTTGTAGCAGTTTTAGATATACAGAAAAAATTAAACATACAGAGTTCTCATTATTTTATCCCCTCTAGATTCTCTGTTATTAACATCTTGCATTATTAACTAAAGTCTACAGTCTACATTAGTGCTCACTTTTTGAGCTGTCCATTCTGTGGGTTTGTATCCACCATTGCAATATCATACTGAATGATAGTTTCACTGCCCTAAATAATCCTCAGTGCTCTATTTATTCATCTTTCCTTCCTTTTTTTCACCTGGACCCCTAGTAACCTTATTTTTTTACTGTTTCCATAGTTTTTCCTTTTCTGGATTGTCATATCATTGGAATCACACAGTATGTAGACTTTTTAGATTTACTTCTTTCAATATTTCTTATATATTTTTGAAACAAGTCCAGTATCTGATATGTTTTGCAAAGATTTACTCCAGTCTTTTGCTTACCTTCTCATTCTCTTGTGAATATTTGAGTTTTAATAATGGAAAAACTTTGTGTAGTAAAAAAAAAAAAAGAAGAGATGTAAACCAAGTAAAATAGCAAAATAGTTAAAGAACATAATCCAGTAGGTAACAGACAATGAAAATCAAATAACTTGTAAATGTATAAAAAGAAGTTTGAACTCTCTATTTAAAAATTTTATGTGAGTGATCTGCCATGGCTAGAGGAGAAGCAGCAGGTGTGGATCAGTGAGAGCGGCCACTTCAGCAATGGGCAGGAGGACCAACTGTTCAGATGCACCATCTCCTTCTCCTTAGAAATTCTAAACTGTGGAGGGTAGAGCAAGATGGTGGAATAGAGACATCACCTTGCCGGATACTCATGGTGAGACAAAAGAGAGAGATCTTCAGCCACCTCTGGCTAGGTAAATTTGCACAGAAACATCACTCTGGGGGCACAGTGAGGCAGGAGACTTCAAGAGCCTATGAGGAGGTCTGGAGCTGAGGAAAACCAACCTAGAAGGCAGACTGCTTGGTATAGGCACAATCTGGCTTTCTTGTGGAGGTCTGGGGATAAGAAAGGGTTGTCCTGCAGTATTTTGATTTTGGGCTGGGCTGCTCACTGGAGCAGCGAGTAGACTCGAACAGCATCCTACAGCTAGGGTTGAACGTCAGGCAGGATGATTCTCCCATCAATTTGGCTGCTGGTAGGGCCACACCATTGTGGGAAGACTGATAGTGAGGGAAGGTTAGTCCTGGGATCCTAGTGCATGACTGACTCTAGAGTGTCTGCTGAGCTTGACCTGCCATCCTTGGGGTGAGCTGAATGGACACCACACTCCCTAGGAGGACCACTTTGTTGTCAGGACACTGTCTGATGGACCTCCTGGGAAAGAGAGATTTGGAACCCCAGTCCTCTGAGGACTGAATGCTGACAAAGTGACCAGACCCGATTGAAGCCAAAGAAGTCAGGAAGATAAGATTCCATCTCCTTTGCAACTAGAGAGTGGCTTCTGACCCCCATCATATATGGTAAATCCACCGTGTGTTCTCTGGCTCCTGACAACCTGCTGTCCAGGCAATATATTGCAATACACACACACAGGGTGTCCATAGTTTGTATACACATTACAATGTAAATTTCAAATTGCACATGAACTTCATGGATACATTGTATATTGTTCTACAATTCTGCTTTTTTTCAATTTTTTGTTTGTTTTTTTTTCTTTTTGTATTTTTCCCCTTTTTAATAGTTTTTTTGTTATTGGTTTGGATGTTTGGGTTTTTTTCAATAGCAAGTGCTCCTTTACTTTTGTTACAGTTTTCTACCCTTTTTATTCTTTCTTTCATTTTTATTTCTCTCATTTTTCTATCTTTTGGTGGAGATTTTTCTACTTTTTTCATCTTTCCTACATAAATTTCTCGTACAACCCCTAAGATATCTCTTTTTTTCCTCCTCTATATCTTGGACAATTATATTTTTAATTTTTTATTTATTTTATTTGTTTTTCATGTTTTTCCTCTTCTCTGAAGGCTGGGGGTGTCACCTCATTAGTCTGGCTCACAGAGGCCACAAGCTCACTGCATTGGGTGTGTGTCTAGCTTTGGCCTTTGGAAAGAAGGTATTGCAGGTACCCACTGCTGATTTCTTTCTATATAAGGAAGAGCTTGGGTTTTGCTTTTGCCTTAGCTGGTAAGGAGCTCCTGACATTGAGGGACTCACCCAGCCCAGGACACCCACAAAGTTTTAGAGCTGTGGGTATGGTTAAAGCACCCCACCAAGTGCCACCATTTCTCCTATCACTCTCTTCTCTCTTGTCATTTTTTTCTCCTTTTCTTCAATTTTTTCCTTTTATCCCACTCTCCTTTTTTCTTCCACTTTTTCTTTTTCTTTTCTTTTTCCCTTCTCACTCTTTACTCTTATTTTCCTTTTGGCCTTATACGAAAGGATCACTTCAACACTTAAGCTCTGAGACAAGGTAATTTAAAGTAAAGGAGGCAGTGAGAGGGAAAAAGTAGGGGAAGAAAGTGAATAAGAAGAAAGCACACATGAGGAAGAACTAACAGAAAAAATCTAGCAACATGAAAAACCAGAATAGAACAATCCCACCCAAGGAATCATGAGGTAGCTACTGCAGAGGATTCCACCTATAAAGAATTAATGGAAAAGATAGAGAATTTAAAATATGGATGGTAAAAACAAAGGGAATTGACAAGAAAGTGGAAAAACAGAATCAAAAAAAATGAACAAAGGATATGAAGAATGTAGAAAGGATATGGTGGCTCGTAAGGACTTAAAGAAGTCAATCATGGAAATTAAAGGTGCAGTAGAAAGTATCAACAGATTAGACCATGGAGAAGAAAGAATCTGTGAGCTAGAAGATAAAGCTCTTGAGCTAACCTAGGCTGTTAAAGAGGCAGAAAAGGAGAGAGAAAGCAGAATATTCACTAGGAATATTATGGGACTTGACAAAGCACTCAAACATAAAATTATATGTATTCCTGAAGGGCAAGAAGGACATGCCAAAAGAATGGAAGCCCTACTGGAGGATATCATAAAAGAAAACTTCCAAGGATAAAGATTCTGAAATGCTCCTTTTAGAGGGATATCAAAATCTGGATTGTCTCAACACATTTAGAGCATCTCTAAGACACATTATAATCAGACTGTCCAA